CTTCGGACTAGGTGCATTCTACTAAGTCCTCCTGAAAACAAGACCAAGTTGCGACGAGGTCTACCCAATTCTAAGAATCGAAGGGAGGCACGACTATACCAGAGGCCACAACATCTTTGTCTTCATATCTTCAATTAAACTACGGTAGTAAAATTGCTAACAATGCAGTGAATACAGCTGAACAAAGAGGGCAATTGTAAGTTAATCTTCTCATCTGACTTTTTTAAACTGCTGTAAAAGTTATTGTATCACTCCTAAGTTCTATGAACCTAAGAGACCCTACCCCTCGGATATGGTTAATGAGTGTCTCCACCAGGCTCGTATTCAAAAACTCAGTGAGACCTATGATACAGAACAGAATAAGTTGTTTGAGTTTATAGATAATAACAAAATAGAGTGATGATAAATTTCGTAAGTTTAGCGTTAAAAGACAACCTAATTTAAATCCAAAACGCCCAGTTGAAGTGGCTTCCGGGGTGACAACACCTAGTAATCAGCACGGGGATCGGAATAACTTATCATGAATTCCTCTCAATCACGAAACAACCGCGTTCCTGGAAAAAGGACTCAATTTTTCAATTCAACATAACAGAAACCATCTAGGAGACATCCTAGTGGAGGTTATCAATATCGCCGACAAATTCCCTGAAGAGACAAAACAGGAAATAGAAATGGAACTAATTCCAAAGATTTTGACACATCAAGAGCCTACACACAGGAACAGATTTGCTGTAATACGCAAAACCCTAGAAGCGAATGAACAATTAGTCCTATAGGCGGACGAAGCAGCTACAGTAATAATGAACAAAAAACAATATACCGAGAAGATGGAACAAATTTTACGAGACAGGAACACATATTGTATACCAAACAAGAACTAAACTATGAAGACCAATTGAACTGTAAGTGACATGCTTAAAGATATGCATAGAATAGAAAAATTAACGCATGGATAAGAAATTCAATCGTAAGAAAGGATGCACGACCACCAACAGCATACGGGTTAACGAAGATACACAAGGAAGGCGAACAACCAAGTCTGATATTCAACAAGTATGGAGCAACACACAAATGAGCAAAGTTTATATGTTTGAAACTCAAGAAATTAAATGAGAGGCCATCAGACACGGTACAAGATTCATATGCTTTTTCTCTAAAAATCAAAAACATGGCACTGGAAGAAACGGACTTATTGGTAGGTTTCGATATGAAATCCATGTAAACAAAAATCTCTGGAGAAAATGCGCTAACGGCCCTGCTGGAAATAATGGACTGAGAGGAAGATATCCTGGAATCACAACGGATCGGTAGGGAGTCGTTAACAAAACTAATCAACTTGACAATAAGGACAACCTATTTTACATTCAACGGGAACATATATGAACAAATATTTGGACTTCCCATGGGATTGCCACTCTCACCACTTTTGGCAAACGTATACATGGACAAAATAGAAGAGAACTTCAAGATGGCACCGCTAAAACCGGCAGTGCTCATGCGGTACCTGGATGATTATTTCACACTTTGGTAATACAGAAGTGAAAAAATTGAAGAGTTTCTGAAGTTTGTAAACCAGATTGATGAAAAATCAAATTCAGGATGAAAGTAGAGCAAGGTGAGCGGTTACCGTTCCTGGACGTTGAAGTGATTCGCTCAAATGGGACGTTTAAAAAGAAATTGTTCAGAAAGAAGTCCTATGCTGGTACAATACTGCCTAAGTAAACTCGAGAAAGATAAGAATAGAGCAGGACCAGCAAAAAGGAGACGCCTGGATCAAGGATATATTGCTAACCGGAGAAAAAGGGATCACGGTGAGGAAAGTGGCGGGCAAGGGTCCTCGGCAATCAAGCGAAGACGTTGTCGGTGAGTGATGCCCGTTTCGAATAAACCGGTACATCTTTTAAGTCTGGCAGTCAGTGAGCTGGGCAAGCGGATAAGCAAACCGTCACAGAAATTCGGCGTTATGGCCAAAATGTACTAGAAATCCACTTGAGATGCCGAATGCGACCAGAGATAGGCGTCCACAGTTTTTTCAGCTACCATTGGTTTAATCAAGGATATGACCCGTGAAGGGAAAGCCTGATATCTGCAAGGATGGAAATCAGACCTTAGGCTCTGCTCAATGAGGCGGCAGTGTACGTGCTTCTAGGGCATTGAGAAATAGCGCCTGGAGTGAAATGCACACTGGGACTGGAATTGAGTGAAATCGGTCAACCAGAAAAATAAGGAAGGAATCTACGAGACAATGAGAGATCCAGATTGGAGGCCTGAGTCGTATTATCCGATCAAAAGAGAAGGGGTCGGGGTGAATAGCAAAAGTGATGAGGCCACACTAGATTTGCCACAAAAGGGCACACATTTTGACGAGTGGAATGTAAACAAATAAGATACCGTGATAGTTTGCTTATCCGTCTACCCAGCTCCCCGACTGCCAGACCCCCAAAGTTGTAGTAGTTTATTCGAAATGGGTATCACTCACTGACAAACGTCTTCGCTTTATTGCAGAAAACCCCTCCCCCCATTTTCTTCCTTGCGATCCCTTTTCCTCCTCTTAGTGGCAGATCCTTGATCCAGATGCTGGGAATCATGACAACTACTATGGCAGACAACTTCGGACTTAGTGTGTTCTACATGGTCTCCCTGAAAACAAGACCAAGTTGCGACAACGAGGTCAACCCACTTCTATTAATTTGGTTAAGTTTGCATAATTACGAATAGATAAATAAGTTTGACCTACTCGGCGGTAGAGAGCAAATTGCAGAGCAGATCAACGTCATGAAGGATGCGAACTCGATGCTCCTCATTGGCAGCTATGCAAAATGGTGATGGGAGAGTTGTTGACGTTGAGACGTCCTTATTGCCATAAGAAGTTTTGGTGCGGACATTGTCACCCAAAACTTGTCCCACATCTCCAGGTTTGTCGCTTGTCGCCACACAGGTTCCCGAGCGATTTTTGCGCTTACCACCAATATTTAATGGTTCCACCACAGAAGTTGCAGTTTTTAGACCGTTTTGTGCTGACGGAGTGATGTTAAGCTCGAAAAAGACCTTCGGTTCCAGGCACGTTGAAGCGGAATAATTGGGGACACCGAATGAGCTGGGGTTGTCTACTATAGGTAGAAAGTGGTTGAAACGATCGAAGCATAAGACCTGACAACGCTTTCGTTCCCGTCGAGATGCAGCTTTGAAAGCCTCTCGCTCCCGTCGAGCCTGATCAGCCTCAGCACGTCGCCGCTCAGCGTCGGCCAAACGAGCTTGTTCTGCGGCATCAGCCTCGAATCGGGCACGCTGTACGAAATTAGTATGATATATGAAATAAGGATGCTGTGCATGTATAAATATAAGAGATTGTAAAAAGCCAGTTTCAACCAATTAACTAATTTCACCCTATTACAAGTGAGCTAGGCCAACTCTCACTCTTCTAGATAAGCATAAGAAATTTGTAGAAAAATTGGTTTTCGAAGAATCTCGAGGAGGTATCTGCGAAGTAAGGTATAAGAAGTGATAAACTTGTACGAAATAGCACTGAACATTACCACTGGGAAAGTTCTTTCCGAAGGCCTGAACTTTGCGTTTAAACGGCCTTTTCTTGAAAAGACTAGGAGTGATATTGAATGCAGATTGCCACTTTAATTGATAGCCATGTAGAAGTATCGCCAATGAATGCGAAAGTAAAACAACATTATTAAAGAATAAAGATACAAAGAACAAATAGTATAAGGGCAGATAAAGAACGAGCAGCGGTGGTCAGGTAAGACTAGAAAAGATAAAGCAGGCACTAGATGATACCGTAATGTATAAGGACCATAAAGAAACCCTGAAGTAGAGAATAAGGGGATGTCTGCAACATTGTGTAACAAACGGGGAATTAGAGAAGTGAAACATGAATACGCTTCTTCAACGGGATGCCAGGCCCCTGAATGCATATGGTCTGACCAAGATACGTAATGAGTCCCACTCAGAATTATTGTCAATAAGGGTGGCGTGATGAGTAAAATATGACGATATATCTGCCATGAAATAAAGCTAATCTTCGCAGTCTCCTTTAACCAATAAGATTTGATGTTAAGTTTACTA